ACCAGATGGGTTTTTCCGACAATCAACAATGGATTCACAGTCATCATTAGATTTTTAATTCCAGATATTTATTGAATTCAAATTCCACCATCTGCCGTGGTGGGATTTGAACCTGGGTCCCCAGAGTGTTTATCTGGGTCTCTGGATTAACAGTCTAATACCACAGGCCACCATCTCCCCAATGGCAATAAATTCCGCGAATATTTCACCCTGATGAAACACCAGTGAGTTCCCACAGGGAAGAGGCCATCGACTTGTTTGGAGTCCAGTAAAGTATTCATTCAGTTATCCAGCCTGCGCATGCATGAACGAGTTCACACTGGGGAGAGGCCATTTACATGGTCTGGTTGTGGAAACAAATTCACCCAGTCATCTGCCCTCATAAGACACCAGCGTATCCACACAGGGGAGAGGCCATTCAAATGCTCCAAGTGTGGGAGGTGGTTCAGAGATTCATCTGGCCTACAGGTACACCAGCGAGGCCATACTGGGGAGAAGCCATTCATATGTTCTGAGTGAGGGAAAGGATTCATTCAGTCATCCAGTCTGTCAAAGGATAAGAAAGTTCACAAATGATCATAAGAGTTGGATTTGCTGTTAATCTGCATTATATGTGCTGCGAGACAGCACATTTCAAACAGACAGCATCTACTGTCTAGAAAAATAAGTGAAGCAGTTACATGGGACAATTAGCACCTGCATGCTCTTCTCCATACTGTACACCATTCTCATCAACAGGATATTAGAAAGGGAAGATTTGCAGACAGAAATCTCAAAATGACCATCACATGAAGATCTAATGGAGTCACTGCAACAACTGGGACTTGAAAATCATAATCTTCCATATTGGCTGTTCCTTTACTCTCAATGATTCAAAATCCTGGAACTTCTCCCAAACAACATTGTGGGTGACCCTACACCTCAAAGACTGCAGTCCCAGAAACCACCATCTTCTCAAGGAGGACAACTGGGATGGGCAATAAGTGCTGACCGAGACATTGATACTATACCCCATGAATTGATTTGAAAATGAAGGAAAATCACATGTTCATTCTGACAGTGGGAGAAATGGGAGGGTCAGGGGGTTTCTTTCTGCTGGACTGGCCGCTCTCACCACTTTGCTTCCAGTGAGGCTGATGCTCTTTGATCCTGGGAATGAACATTCCCAAGGAAATGATCCCCAAAAGCTGATGAAGTAAATTTATTTTGTCCTGGATAGGAAATAATGTTTTTCTCACCACTCCAATTAGATCAGAAGTAAATATGTTTGTCTTTGTTCCATTGAGTCTCTAGCCCAATTAACTCAATTAGTTTCCATCAGTATTTATGCTCCACATCCTCCCCTTTCACCTCCCCTTTCATCTCCCCCATCAGTAGATCCTTCTATTCCTTTCTCCCTCACGTATGCATCCAACTTCTTAAATATATTCCTCTGTTCACCTCCATCTCGCGCTCTTGGAGTGAATTGCACATTCTGACCTGTCGCAGGGTAAAGACGTTTCTCATGAAATCACGATTGGATTTTTAAAAGCCCTTCATCATTTTAAAGGCTTCCATCAGATCATCCTTTAGTCTTCTCTTTTCTGGAGAAAAGCTCCCCTGTGTGACATATTTCCAGTGTCTCTATTTCCTTTGTCCAAATGGCAATGACAAATGTTGACAGTACTCCCAGTGGAGTCAAACTTTGGTTTCAAATAAATGAAACATCATTTTCCTCCTTTTCAATTCTATTTCTGCAGAAAGGAGCCCAAATATGGGCTGTGCCTTTGCAGAAAGATGTTAAGTTCGTAGAGAAGTTTGAGACTGGAATTACAGGAATGTCATCAGGGATTCAGGACTTCAGTTGGTTGGAGAGACTGGAGCAGCTGATCCTGTTCTCTTTGGATCCTAGATTTATTGTGGTAGAACAGAGAGAGAGAGACACCATTCATCCCTCTGAGGTCATGCTGGCTCTGTTTAGAACAAATGTCAGTCATTGTTCAATCCCAAAAACCCTGCAAGTTTATATGCATCAAGGAACATCCAATTTTTAAAAAAGGAAGTAATGAATATATTGTTCAGGATGATAAACAAACTGGAATAATTAATTTCAGGTGTCATTCAGGAGAACCTTGCAATCGAGTGTCCACCAATATTGCAGTTAAAACCTGGAATGTTGAGCTGATTTGAATAAGTTGATATCTTTCCTTGGCAATACTTACATTTTGTTTTTTTGTTTTAATTTTGTTTTAGGAAACCACATTTGATAATCTGGTCACTACCTGACAGATCAGCACCACATGGGAAGATGTTGAGACAGACATCCATTTTGATAAATGCACTTGAATGTTAATATGTGCCGTGATGTCGGGCTATCAGTGGATGTGCAGATATAATATGTTATATATGAAAGAAATGGCGTGTAAATTCACGGTGAACGTGCACTGCAGAGAGGGTCCCAAACACATGCAGCTCCTTGAGAAACAGCCGGACATGAAATGGTTAATGTGTCCGGGGGTAACGAGACAGCATTGTGACATCATCAAGACAGTGACACGTTCTCCCGAGAGAAACTGACCTGAAACAATCCGGAGAGAATTCAACCCACAGGGAATGGTCAGAAAGTCAGTGAGGTTCATTAGGAAGGGGTTAAAAACTTAGATTGGGATCATTAAGAACTGTACACATTTTGGACACAGGCAAATAAAAAGATTGGAGAATCTTTACGCCCATATTTGACCTGTCGCTTGAAGCTCATGTATCTGTGTACGAGTAATTTATAAACTCATGGCACTCCTCAGGAGAAGAACCAGTCAATTCGATGTGACCCCAGCAGGGGCCAGAACAGAACTGGAAAATAACAAAGTGCAAATGATAGAGGGGTGATAAAGAGAACCACACCCCTTCAACGTGTGGTCTGTAAATATTCTGTTCCGGTTTTCTTGCCAATTGGCATATATTAATTTAAATATGATAACTATTTTATTTGCTTATGAGTCTTAAGGCATCACTGGGTAGGGCCAGATTTATTGCCCATCGCTAACCGCCCTGGAGAGGATGGGGCCAGCGATAGTCCATGTACTGTAGGTAGATCCACAGTGCCATGAAGGGAGACTTCCAGGAACTTGACCAAGCGACACAGAAGGAACGTGATATATTCCCAGGTCAAAGTCAGAAGACACACAACACCAGGTTCAAGTCCAACAAGTTTATTTAAAATCATAAGCTTTCGGGGTGTTCCTCCTTCGTCAGGTGAAGTGCTACTTTATTACTTTGGTACACCGTAAGAAAGTGATAAAGTCAGGTGCAGCGTTCAGAAAGCTTGTGATTTCAAATAAACCTGTTGATCTATAACCTGGTGTCATCTGACTTCTGATTTTGTCCACCCCAATCCAACACCAGCACCTCCACTTCATATTTCCAGGTCAGCACGGTATGTGGCCGAGAGGGGATCTAGCAGGTGGTAGCATTCCCATGTGACTGCTGCCCCTGTCCTTCTGGATGTAAAGACTGCAGATTCAGAAGGTGCTGTTGGAGGAGCCTTGCTGAGTCACTGCAGTGCATCTTGTAGATGGTACAGACTGCTGCCACTGTGCATTAGTGGTGAAGGGAGTACAGGGATGTAGTTGGGGTGCAAATCAAAAGGGCTGTTTTGTGTTCAATTGTATTAAACCTGATGTAAGGCTTTTGAAATAAAAATAAAAGCAAACATTGTCATATGAAACTGTCCTCAAAATGAAATATTGGTTTTTGAGTTACCTCTGGATCAGGCAAGTGAATGGAAGGTCGTCAAGTTGGGAAATGATATCAAAGTGGAAATAAAAGACATGCCCTGGAGAAATTCACATTAGGTTAGACATCATAAGAAAGTGATAAAGTCTCAGACGAGACTCCTTCAGAAAAAAATCTTTCCACTGCCAGCACTAACCCCTTTTACACCCTCTCCTGACGAATATATGTATGTTTCGCGTAGTTATTGAAAATGAAAATTAACATTTTGTCAACACTCCCCATGTCATCACTGTTGGTGAAATATAATTTCTAACCCAGACCATTCTTTCACGTCACCCCGGTGCATTCTGTGTGGTTACAGCAGAGGCAGAGACAGGCTGCTCATACCCCTGCTCCCACTGCTCTGGATCTCAGTGTTGCACGTTTACCAAACACAGTTTTATCTTTACCAATGTAGAAGAAACCTAAACCTGAACCCGAGACAACAAGTTGTAGAGCTGGATGAACACAGCAGGCCAAGCAGCATCAGAGAAGCAGGAAAACTGACGTTTCGGGCGTAGACCCTGCTATCTCTAAACCTGAACCTGACGGTTCACTTCCAGTCAGGAACAGATCATTGACTTACACTAATCTCTGATTTGAAGCACATTTCCAGCAATCACCGTTGTTCTTTTTCTGACTCTAAATCCAGTTGGAAACGAGATTTTGTTCCGTGTCTACGAGCTCCGAGCCATGAAAGACAGTAGCTGGGACACATTTCTTACACACAGCAGGATTAACCCACATCGTGGCTTGGCTGTCAGTGAAGAGAGACGAGAAAGAGTAAAGTGCCATCTGACCCCCTCAGTGTGACCCTGAAGGATGTGTCCGGCTGAAGTTCTGTTGCTGCCGTACGATTCCCGCCCCACCCCTCACCATCATATTGATATTGTCCTTTCTGAGCTCCAGGTGCTGTTCAATCCTCAGGACAAATACAACTATCTACAGTGATGTGTTTGAAGCAAAGCTGACTTATTTTATATTTCTCCAGTATATTAAACTCTAGTTCAATTTTAGAGGTTGTAAACATCATCAGAAACAAACTGCAAATGTCAGAACAAAAGTATCAGAAAATTACAGCGCAGATCAAGGCCTTTTTTTTATTCATTTGTGTGATGTGCGTATTGTTGGCTGCCCAGCACTATTTGCCCTTGGCCCATCATGTTCGTGTTGGCTGAAATAGAACTACCCAGGCTTTACAGCTTTCTGGACTCATCATTGAGATCAACAATTTCAGACTGTGAACTCTGCCCCAATTTGTTTACATTTCTTGTTTCAATTTGTTTCTGGGTCCACTGCACACCTGGCTCCAGGCACATCTTTTGTTTATTTGTTTCTTTTCCAGCCCTAACTCCATTCCCTGCAGCCTTGAAGTACTATTAACATTTCTGAAATTTAATCTCTCCTGCCTTCCCCCTGTGACTTCTGCCTTTTTGCCCTTGTCTAACCACCACCTTGCTCAGAATCTGTTACATTTCTGGTCCCAGGCCTTTGTCAACTCACCGCGCCCCCGGGTCAGAGTTTTGAATTCTCTCCCTCCAGAGAGAATCTGAAATCATTGTGGCTGCAGCTTTCCCCAGATTTTAATTTTGGAAAGAAAAACCATGAAATTGTTTCAGAGTTGAGGTTTTTTTGAGCCTTAATCCACAATTTCGCCTCTTTAGAGCTAAGCTGTGATCCTCCCACAGTCCAAAAATGCAAGATAGATGGATTGGCCACACTAAATTGTCCCCGAGTGTGCAGGTTAGGTGGTTGGGTTAGCTGCGGTAAATGTGGGGTTTATGGGAGTAGGGTGGGATAGAGAGCTAGTGCAGACTAGATGCACTGAATGACCTCTTTCTGCACTGTAGGGATTCTGTCATCTTAACCATTTGTGATCATGGTCACATTTTCCTCATGACAGCCCACACATCCCCATGTTCATTCAGCTCAAGCTTTCATGCTGCCTTTGTGTTTTGAGAAGCTCTGTTGTTGGAATGGGAGCTTTCTTTGATGTGGCCTCTCCTCATACTTCCGCCCACTTCCCAGTTCCCTGCATTAATTCCAGCTATATCTCATTTGCCCAAATGGGGTTGTTGAAGAGCTCAAAAGGTGAGTGGACTGAAATTGAGAAATTAAAGAGTGAGAAGGAAAGAGGAGTGGAAAAAATAAACAGGTTTGGTAGATCCCAGGGGAGTGAGGAAGGGTCACAGATGCTTCCAGACATGCTGAGCTTTTCCAGCAACTTTGTTTTTGTTCCAGGGGAATAAGACTCCAGGATCCTTCTGTTGTGACTGTTCACACGGTTTTTTTTTATTAATTTGTGGGATGTGGGCGTCCCTGGCTGGCCAGCATTTCTTGCCCATCCATAGTTGCTCTCGAGAAGGTGGTGGTGAGCTGACTTCTTGAACCGCTGCAGTCCTCCTGCTGTGTGTTGACCCACAATGCTATTGGGGAGGGAATTCTAGGGTTTTGACCCAGTGACAGTGAAGGAACGGTGATATATTTCCAAGTCAGGATGGTGAGTGACTTGGAGGGGAACGTGGAGGTGGTGATCTTCCCATATATCTGCTGCCCTCGTTCTTCCAGATGGAAGTGGTCATGGATTTGGAAGATGCTGTCTGAGGATCTTTGGTGAATTTCTGCAGTAGAGACAACATTCTCTGATGAGAGTCAAACCAGGGCAGGCAAAGATGGAGCACTGAATAGTAACAGATTTAGTTCAAACACAGGAGATTTGTTCAGCCAGTAATAGCATGTAGTGTAATAGTCACGGATGTGAAGTGAGTAGTGAGGGGAAATATTGCCACAAGCTGCAGATGGAAAACTTTTATAGGAACAGGAGTAGACCATTCAGCCCCTCAAGCCTGTTCTGTCATTCAATGAGATCATTGCCTGATCTGTGGCCTAACTTTCAATTTCCAAAACCTACCAAGCCTATCAATGAGGCTTCTCTGAAACAGACAAGTTGAATATTGAAAAACATTTTAAAAAACTGCAAATGCAGGGAAATCAGAAACAAAAACAGAAATTGCTGGAAAAATTCAGCAGGCCTGGCAGCATCTATGAAAGAAATCAGAGTTAACCTTTCAGGTCCAGTGACCCTTTGAGTGACCAGATGCAGTTGACCATTCCCTCTTTCCTGTAACACTCTCCGGAACAGGTGAGGGCCATGAGATTGTCAATAACAACTGAGAAAACAGCAGGGTATGCTGAATCAGAATAAAACCTATTTTGGTCTTTCACTTTTAAATCAACTGCAACAATTTATTCACAATTGTTTCAGAAAGAGGACAAGAGACGAGAAAATCAACTCAGTGTCATTGGGTCTGGGAACCATTGTTATTCTGACCTACATGTGAATCCATACTATAACAATTAGTTTGATTCTGAACCATCCTTTGGGCAGTTAGAACGGATGATAAGAGCTTGCTGAGCTTGTGATGCCATGATCCCATGAACAAGCAAAAGAAAAATCCAACTACTGAAGTTACTTGTGAACCCACTGGTGTTTCATCAAGCTATATGACTGAGTG